TTTTCAACTGCATCTCTGCCCATCCTCACCCCTCTGCCCCCAACCCTCACCTCCTTGTACCCCCAATATGTTTTTTCCCAATAAAAAAAAAGGGACAAAAAACCAACTTCTGTTTTGGCTAACAACCTCCACTCCCTAACACTTTTAGGCTATTTCTTGATTCTCCACTATCTTCCAAAGAATTGGGGTTGCCAGAGAAATAAATACCTATCTTCCTATAGTTTCATGTATTTTATGGGTGGACTGTCCACTGATTAGTGTCTTTAGCCTTAAATCCAACTGTGATTCAATAAGAGAGGATTGTTTATGAACGTGAACTCTTAGACGTTGTTTTTTTAAAATAGATCTTGGGACCAGTCTGTGTAGATTGGGGATGATTATCTCAAAATTAATAAAGAATACAATTTGATGCACACATTAAACCTATCACAAATTATTTTCTTATATATATGCTGAGTATGCCATGGACTGCCAAAAGGACAAGCAAATGTGTCTTAGAAAAGGTACAGCCAAGATACCCTTGAGGCAGAGATAGTGACGCTTCGTCTCATGTACTTTGGGCATGTTGTTAGGAGAAACCAGTCCTTGGGAAAGGACATTATGTTTGGAAAAGTGTAGAGTCAACAAAGGAGAAGACCCTCGATGAGACAAATTGACATAATGACTATAATGGTGGGATCAAATATTTCAGAGATAGTCAAGATAAAGCAAGGTCCAGATTCATTGTTAACAAGAACTCTATCAATCTTAGTCAACTCAACAATACTTAACATCAAGGGGTTACTAAATACTTGGCATAAAGACTGCAAGAATTTACTTTTTTCGTCCCTTCCCTGGGTAACGTTGTTTTTGTTGTTGTTGTTGTTGTTATGTGCTGTCGAATCAGAACCAACTCATGGCCAAACCCTCAGCAGGTTTTCAGAAGCAGTAAGTCACGCAGGAGGAGACTGCCCATCCTGCTCCCATGGAGCAACTGGTGGATTCAAATCATGTGCCTTTGGGATTGCAGGGTAGCTTTTTACCATTAGGCCACCAGAGCTCCCTTGGTTGCCCTAAATGTAATCTGAACTATGGTCACTTGTGCTCTAGTGATTAGATTGAGGCTTCGAATGTTATTAAGAAAAATTTAGCACAGGTCATTTGAGGCTATAGATCATAAGGTCTTTGATAGCCTAATAAAAGCTATATTAGCATGTGTTGTTGCTTTACTAACCAAAAAGGCTGTACATCTCTGGTAGTTCAAATCCACCAGTGGCTTTCCAAGAGAAAGATGAGCAGTCCCCTACATTAAGATCAACAGCCTTCAAAATCGATGGAGGGTCATTATGATTCAGAATCTGAATAGCAGTGAGTTGAATTTTAAATTGTAAGACCTCATTTATTAGATTTCATTAACTCAACAATCAATAAACATCTTTGATTTTGATTATTCAGGAAGAAGTATAAATGCTTTCTTTTCTAGGTTAGCTTATCTCTGGAATCCTAGGTGGTATAAATAGTTAAGTGCTTGACTATTGACTAAATGATTACTGACTGATCCGTGATTAGCTATTTGAACTTACCCAAGGGAACCTTGGGGGATGGGAGGGGGGGGTGGAAGGTCTGTGGATCTGCCATCGAAACACAGATTTTAAAACTCTATTGACGCCAGATGCTCTGCTGGAGAAGGAGGGACAATCTCCTCCTGTACCAGTCAGATCTGATTTAATGGTACACACACAATAAATAATAAAAAAGGTTTTAAAAAAAAACACCAAACTCTATAGAGCTGATGGAAAGAGATAGCCAATCTCATTGCGTGTCACTCATTGCCTCTGAAAACAGACTGCAGGGTCAGCTATGAGTCAGGTCCCACTCAATGGTACACAATAGCAACAACAACAACACAGAACCTGCAGCTCAGCTCTGCAATACATGCCAGATCGGTTTGATGGCAACTAATATCAACGTACTGTATGAAGAGTTGGGCTTCTAGCCAAAACTTGGAGGATCAAATACACCCTCTGCTGGTGAGAAAGATGAACCAGTCAGCTCCCATTAAGATCCCATTAAGTCAGCTCAGAAACCCTGTGAAAGATCACCCGTGTCTGAATGGACTCTACAGCACATGAGGGTTTGGAGTTTACTAGAAGGATCCCTGGTGACTCAGAGGACTGAGTGATGGTATTCTTAACCAAAAAGTTGGCAATTTTATTCCACCAGTCACTCCTTCCTCAAAAGAAAGCAGAGATAGCCTTCTTTCATAAAGATTTACAACTTGAAAACCCTCTGGGCTATTCTATGCTATCCTACAAGGTTGATATGAGTTGGAATTGACTCAATGGCAGTGGGTTGGGGTTGGCTTGGTAGTTACTAGGGGGGTACTTCTACTTAAATATTTTGTAAATTGACTGTTCATCATTTTCTTGATAATTAGTATTCAAAATATGTGAAAATAAACTGTTTTAGGAATTCATGAGAATTTTAAAAACATTTCTTTATATAAAACAATTGACACCCTGAAGAATAAATTAAAGCCATGAGTTGCATTACTTAAGGATACTTTGGGCAGAATTTTAAATGATCCAAGGAGCATTGAAAGAAGATGGAAGGAGTATACAGAGTCACTGTATCAAAAGCAATTAGCTAATACAGAAGAATTTCATGAAACAATATATGAGCAAGAGCCTGTGGTGATGAAGAAATAAATTCAAGCTGCTCTGAAAGAACTGGCAAAAAATAAGGCTCCAGAAATTGATGAAATACCAACTTACATATTGCAACAAACAGGCAGTGCCCTTGATGCGCTCACTAAGTTGTGCCAAGAAATCTAGAGGACAACCACCTGGCCAACTGACTGGAAGGGATCTATATTTGTTCCTATTCCAAAGAAACGTGATTCCAACAGAGTGTGGAAATTATCAAATATCATTAATATCACATGCAAGCAAGATTCTGCTGAAGATTATCCAAAACGACTGGAGCAGTACATCAACAGAGAACTGCCAGATGTGCAGGCTGGGTTTAGAAGAGGTACTAGAGATATTATAGCTAATTTAGATGGATCTTGGCTGAAAGCAGAGAGTACCAGAGTGATGTCTATCTGTGTTTCATTGACTATGCAAAGGCATTTGTGTAGATCACAACAAACTGTGGGTGACTCTGAGAAGAATGGAAATCTCAGAATACTTGATTCTGCTTATGCGAAACTTCTACTTAGATCAGAAGGCAGTCATCAGAATAGAGCAAGGAGACACTGCAGTGTTCAAAATCAGGAAGGGTATACACCAGTGATGTATTCTGTCTCCATACCTTTTCAATCTATATACAGAACAGATCATCTGGGAGGCTGGGCTTTTGAGGAGGAATGTGGCATCAGGATTAGATGAAGATTCATCAACAATCTGTGTTATGCAGATGAAACAACCCTGCTTGCTGAAACTGAGGAGGACCTGAAGTGCTTGCTGCAAAAAGTCAAGGACTGGAGCCTTCTGTGTGGATGGAGGCTCAATATCAAGAAAACAAAGATTCTCACCACTGGGCCGATTGGCAACATCATAATAGATGATGAAGAGATTGAGAATGTTTTCGTTTAGACTGCTTTAGTTTGCTTGGCTCCACAGTCAAGTCTTAGTACCAGCAGTCAAGAAATCAAGAGGTGAACAATAAAAAAAGAAAGAAAGAAAGAAAGAAATCAAGAGGTGAATTGTATTGGGAAAGTCTGCTGTCAGGTACCTCTCCAGAGTACTGAAAAGAAACAAAATCAGTCTGGAGACTAAGATGCACCTGATCCATGCCATAGTCTTTGCAATTGCTTGCTATGTATCAGAGACCTGGACAATGACTAGAAATGATAGAGAATTGATGCTCAAAGCTGTTGTGCTGGATAAGAGTGTTGAATGAACCACAGCCAGCCAAGAGAACAAATAGGTTCATCCTAGGGAGGGTGAGACCAGGCTTCTCCTTGGAGGCAAGAATTCTGAGGCTTTGTCTGACATATTTTGGACATGTTGCAAGGAGAGACCAGTCCTTGGAGAGGGACATCATACTTGGGAGGATGGACAGCTGGAGAAAGAGGGGAGACCATCGATGACATGGATTGATACAGTGACTGGGCTAATGAAGGTAGGTGTGTCAGAAACAGTAAAGTTGGCACAGGATAGAGCAGGTTTCAGGGCTGTTGTACATAGGGTTGTTATGAGTCACAAGCAACTCTATGGCACCTAACAACAACAACATCTATTCATTTAAAAGGTACAAAAAAAACATTATTAGGTGGTAATCTCTCAGCTTTATCTGGGTTACCATGTTCTCGAAAGTAATAAATAAATATCCCTCCTGAAACATTTTATAATTGAGACTTTTGTGTGAATAGCTACTGATCTTCCCTCCTTTCTACTCTATGTAAGAATTGCTTTACTAAGTTTGCAAGTGTAAACATATTAGTACCTACTGGTACTTATAGAAAGCTTTGGTGGCTTCAGGGTAAGGAATTATGCTGCCAGTGCAAAAGTACACAGTTCTAATCCACCGGCTGCTCCACAGGAGAAAGATGGGCAATCTTCTCCCATGTGACTCACCGCCTCTGTAAACTCACAGGAGTCAGCTATGGGTTAGTTCCAACTTGGTGTAACACAACAACAACATTTGATATCCACAGTATTTACTTATGGGACTATTTTTTCTAATATAAAATATTTATTTTATACTGGCATACTTACAAAGTTCATACACATTGTTTTTCACACTGGATCTTTCCCATTTCCCTAACCCATCCCTCCCTCTACCTATCAAAATGTGTGACCTTATGATTATCCCCAAATCCATCCTCACTTTTCTGCTCCCCTGCTTCCCCCTCCCTTAGATCCTCATACACATTTTACTAGTTATCTATGTCTACAATAATGGTCTTAAATGGTATTTGTCCTTATGGGACTGAGTTAGTTCACTTAGCATAATGTTCTCCAGTACAGGACTATTTTTAACTGAGATAAATTCCTTTATCAATATTAAATACTCACAGCAACAAATTGATTATTTTCTAATTTAATGATGTCTCCCACTTTGACATTCATCCATTTTTCACTCTGCAGCCTAAGAACAAAGACAAAATTACTTTTTTCAAGAGCAAAGAATAATCAAAGAAATCCTTTAATAATTCAGCATCAGACAACAAAGGAAGCACATAGCCGTTTCCTAGAATGTTAAATTCAAAAGGAGTCTTTTATAACAAGGTCCTTCCTCTACTTGCATGATGTGAGGGGGAAAAGGCCCGGAGAGGTTAGGCTATTTGTCATAGGATTCTCAGTGCATTAGTGGTAAATTCAAGATGTCAAACTATTGGCTGAGTGCTTGTCCTACCCCTCTATTATCTTAGCTTCATGTAACAGCTATTGACTCCTGCTTGCACTCCCTGGGGGAAAAAACATTTTTTAATAAATAAGAGAGAATCAGTCACTGGTGGTGGTGATGGGAAAGCTGTCAAGTATGAGTCATAGTGACCCTATGAACAATAGATCTGAATCCTGTTCTATCCTATGCCATCCTCACACTTCTTGACACACAGGAACCTTTTGTGGCAGTCACTGTGTCAGTCCACCTGGCTGAAGATCTTCCTCTTCTTTGCCGGCCCTCCACCCTTACAAGCATCATGTCCCTCTCCAATGCATAGTGCTTCCTAGCAACATGCCCAAAGTATGTGAGACAAGTCTCATTACTCTTGCCTCCAAAATGTATGCCAAATGCACCCTCTCCAAGACATGTCTGTTTGTTCACTGGGTCGTCCATGGGAAGTTCAGTGCTCTTCTCCAACACCAAGCTCAAAGGCATCAATTCTGCTTCTATCATCCCTATTCATTCTCCAACTCTCAGATGCATAGCAAAAGTGACAATGGCCTAAATTAGACCCACCTTAGTCCTCAAACTAACATCATTATTCCTCAATAATTTGGAGAGGTACCTAAATGCAGACTTTCCCAGTACAATACATTTCCTGATTTCCTGACTGCTGGTAGGTACCAAGGGTGTTGATTGTGGATCCAAGTAAGATGAAGTTGTTGACAATTTCAATCTTGTATTCATTCATCATGATGTTGCCTAAGAATCTTTGTTTTCTTGACATTGAGATGCATTAACCTAATTATAAAAATATCTGTGTCATTGCTTCAAAAGTATGTTACAATGGAGACAAGAAGGAAAGGAGAATAGCATGTGGCAAAAGAAAACACTCCAAGACAATCATTAAAATGCAAGTGAGGAAAAGGATACAAAGTGTGGGAAGGAAAGCAATGGCAAAGGGTGATAATAGAGAAGCCTTAGAAGATGGAATGAGAAAGATTACCCACTCCACCAACAACAGCACTGGAGCTGAGTGACAGGCAAGCTTCATGGCATTCTAATTGGTTAAGACCAACAGCTCAGAATAGAGAACGTTGTAGTCAAGGTGCTGCATTGTGTTCTTTGAAACTCACGTGTATCATGAAGCCCTAAGTGCACAATTCACCAAGTTCAAAGCAAAAACGCTTCATAGCTTCATCATGAGAAGCTGTTCTGTTCAGTTGGTCAGGTTCCTGGTGACAACTTAAACTGGGCTGCCCAAAGCCAGGCACACTCCCTGACAACAGTGAACCTGGGCAGTGCACCATGAAGCTGCTCCTCACTCTTGAAAAGCCGCAAGGCATAAACCAGCCTTATTTTCCTAGGTAGATGCCTTACTCACACTTCTTTCTCACATACATCCTTTTAGAAACTCAAGATAGGATGAGGATGACAGGTTCCCACAATTTAAGATGAACAGATTAATTTTATTATACACTTTAAAGACAAACAAACAAAAAGCCCTAATATACTGGTTTCATAGGCTAGAAAAGAACTTGCAAGCAAGATTCTGCTGAAGATTATCCAAAAATGACTGGAACAACCCATCAACAAAGAACTGCCAGAAGTATAGGCTAGATTTAGAAGGGGTTGCAGTACTAGGAATATTGCAGCTAATGTTAGATGGATCTTGGCTGAAAGCAGGGAGTACCAGAGAAATGTCTGTGTTTCATTGACTATGCAAAGGCATTTGACTGTGGGATCACAACAAACTGTGGCTGACTCTGAGAAGAATGGGAATCGCGGAACACTTTATTGTACTTATGCAAAACCTCTACTTGGACCAGGAGGCAGTCATTAGAACAGAGCAAGGGAGACACTGCATGATTCAAAATTGGGAAGGGTATACACCCAGAATGTGTCCTATCTCCATACCTTTTCAATCTATATGCAGAACAGATTATCCGGGAGGCTGGACTCTATAAGAAGAAATGTAGCATCAGAAGTGGAGGAAGACTCATCAACAATCTGTGTTATGCAGATGACACAACTCTGCGTGCTGAAACTGAGGAGGACCTGAAGCACTTGCTGAAGAAGGTCAGGGACTGCAGCCTTCTGTATGGATTGAGGCTCAATCTCAAGTAAAAAAAAAAGATTCTCACCGCCAGGCTGATTGACAACATCATGATGGATGGTGAAGAGATTATTGACAGCTTCAGTTTGCTTGTCTCTACAAACAACACTCTTTGCACCAGCAGCCAGAAAATTAAAAGATGTTATTGCAATGGAAAATTCTGCTGTTAGAGAACTCTCTAAAGTACTGAAGAGCAATGGTGTCAGTCTGGAGAATAAGGTGTGCCTGGTAGAGGCCATGGTCTTTGCAATTACTTACTATGCATCTGAGAGCTGGACAATGACTAGGAATAATAGAAGGAGAATTGATGTCTTTAAGCTGTGATGTTGGAGAAGAGTACTGAATATACCATGGACTGCTAAGAGAGCAAACAGGTTTGTCCTACAGAGGGTGAAGCCAGGATGTTCCTTGGAGGCAAGGATTCTGAAGCTTCATCCTTGTAGAGGGACATCAAGTTTGGGAGGTTGGAGGGACAGCACAGGAGAGAAAGACCCTAAAAATGAGATGGATTGATACAGTGACTGGGGTAATCAGGATGGGTCTATCAGAGACAGAATGATTGGCACAGGATAGAGTAGGGTTTAGGGCTGTTGTACATAAGGTCACTATAAGTCGCAGGCAACTCAACAGCACATAACAACAATAACCAAAAAAGGTCAAACACACTGCCATCAAATTAAATCTGATTTTAACTCTGAATCAGCAACCCTAACAGCCAGAATAGAACTATGGAGCTGCCTCACAAGGTCTCTAGGACTGTACTCTTAGGGAAGAAACTGGTACATCCTTTTGCCACAATACAACTACTGGTGGGCTTGAACCACCCATCTTTTGATTAGCTCAAGCACTTTGCCCACTGCACCACTACGGTCCTTATACAATTGTGAAATATGCCTCACACTATCAGCTCTACAGGGTCGTTTGGCTTCCACTCTCGAAAAATTTCTTCTTTAATATGGATCCAAGTACACGTTGTTCTGGAAAGGTTTCAGTTGTAGCATTTTCATCTCTAGCCAGAATTCAATCCTTTTTCCAGTGCCATAGTTTTTCGGCACTTTATCTAGTTTGACAATGGCAGGAGAATCAAAGCAGCCTTCTAAACTTCTTTTTTTTTAACAGGTATAGATGTTATGCTAGTTTGTTCTCCTTTAGAGCATTGGACATATCTTAGGGGATAGTATCTCAGATGAAAGTCATTATGAGCTGACCAAGATGGAAATCCTATCTTTCTTCACGGTGATTGAACTGCTAGTGAACTGCCCTGAAGTGCTATTGAATGTGTATCTACATTAGGAAAAGAGTCAAAGCGATGTATGTTCCAATTCCAAACAATTATGCCACCTACTGTAACATTATATGCTCTAGGATGAACTATTTGTACTCTAACAGAAAATCAATGAAAATAGAAAGGGATCTGTTCAACACTTAAAAATGCATACTTTAGAATCAATTTTGTATCAGATAAGTAGCAACAGTCACTGTGGATAGCAAATGATAACTTGAGTTCTCTCACTTAAATTTCATTTCATTTGCTTTTTTCCAACCTCAGTATAAAATTTTGCCTATAAAATGGAATCAATTAAAAAGATGTTTTTAAAGTGAGATTTGTGGGGATTACATGGAATTGACTGCTATGTTTGTGAGGAAGGGGGAACCTCAGAAAACAAACTAAAACAAAGTTTGTTTTTTAAAAACATCTTCAAATTTCCAGGACATACAAAAAATCTCTGATATGCATAATCCAATATGGGAAACATTAAACCCCATAGATAGTAGAGAAGGGAAAAATCTCTTATGTCAGATTCTCAAGCAAGAGGGATAACCTATATTTCTATCTGTATTATAACCTTACTTTTAACTTAGCAAATATTTCTAAAATTGGACAAATACTCCAAGTAAGTCATATGTCCAACTCTTGCTAAGAACTGGCCATCAATCTGCTAATGTCATCTGAAAAGCAAAGAAAGCAGACAATATCTTTAACCCCATGCATGAACCTCACCTCGTCTCCCTTTATCTCAACTCAGCCTTCTTTCAGGAAGCTCTGGCAGCTTACTGACAACGAGTTGTGATAACCATCCAAAGGCAAGAAGCTCAAATCCACCAGCTGCTCCTCAGGACAAAGTCAGGCAGTTTCTTCCCATGTGATTTACTGCCTCTGAAATCCCCCTGGAGGGTCAGCTATGAGTTGTCTGTGACTTGATGGAAAGTGACTACTACATGCTTCTTTGTCTTTTTTTTCCCCTCTTGCCATCGGTTTGCCCTCTGCCAATAGCATCTGCTCAGTTCCTACTACTATCTCCAACCTCCTCTTCCCACAAGGTCCCTTTGTTACTCCAAACATCTTCTAAAACCTGCTCTACCCTTGCTCATCTCCCTCCTCCACTAATCTCAATGCACAGCTCATTCAAAAAAAAGCACATATTTGAATAATTTGACACCCTAAAACTTTTCAGGATATATGTATACACATTCCATGGGCCACATTATCACCTCTGTGGAGCGTAGGCTCTAAAGAACCTTTACCTGGCAGGTAACAAATTCTTACCAGCTGGAAGCCAAGTATGATTGGAAAGGCATGCAACTACCCAAAAGTAGTTTGCAATCTGGGAAGGAATTAGCTTGGCTATTCCGGGAATAGCTA